AGAGAGAGAGAGAGAGAATGCAAGAGAACAAAGAATTAAATAGAAAGTCTATTTCCAGTGATTCTGTCAGTGCTGTATCATATGAGACATGCATACTGTGGCTCTCAACAACTTTGTACATGTGATCTATAAAGTAATGGTGAGAACATGGTGAGAATGTGGAATGAAGCAGAGTTAAGGCCAGTCCATGTGAACAGCTAAAATAAACTTACAGACTCACAGACAATAACTCAGCCTATGTAGGGCAGAGGTGGGATCTTAGGAGCTTCAGGTATGTTCAAAGTCAAGAGAATTAATTTTGCTTACTTGGGAAAAAACTTGGTGTGATCTTCTATTGGGTCATCCCCTTCCTCCCACTTCTCCATACATCCTCCACAGGAAAAACACTGGACAATGTCCTTTTTGCCTAGAAAAGGAATGAGGTCAATTCAACAGCACATACATTGTCCAAATCACAAGAAGACAGCTCCAGATTACCCAGTGATCTCCTACTTGGATCTCCAGTTGTATTGTGTGGACAAGTCATCCAGGAGGCAACAGTTCACACAGGACTCTTGGTCGTTCACTGGGGTGCTTTTAAGAAAGCTCTCCCAAACCAATCATCCTGAAAGATTTGCCACCAGAATCTGAAGAGTAGCTGGATGAGAGTAGAGATTTCTGTCTGTTCTGGACATTAATGACATACTGGGCATTCACAGTCATAGGCAACCAAAACACACTTGCTTACTGAGTAAATCAGAAAGAATATGTTTGAAGATCATGTGCAAAAACACAGAAGAAAATACACGAGTTTTTATGTCAGTGAGATCATGAAGAACTACTTGTCTCTCCTATTATTCCCAGGTATGCTCTACAGGAGATAAGAGCACATTGCTCAGGAGACTGTATTCTAGGGAAAAAATTCTAATGTGCCTGAGCCAAGGGATTCAACTGGAAATGGAAAATCAGCATCTTCCACTCTTGAACCATGAAGGCACTCTACAGTTCAAGCAGAGAAGAGCTCCTTTGTCTAACTAGACAAAGCTCCTGGGGTCTAGAGTTTATAGCTGGTAAAAAAAAAATGGGGAGTTGAAAAAGAGGCACTTTTTTAATAGGCACTCTATTTAAAGGCCAACTCTTTAAATAGGCACTTTTCTTCCTGGGAACACAGCATATTTCTTAGCAACTCTTTTTTATTTTTTTTATTTTATTTATTTATTATTATTATTATTATTTTTATTTTTTTTGGTTTTTCGAGACAGGGTTTCTCTGTGTAGCCCTGGCTGTCCTGGAACTCACTCTGTCAGGCTGGCCTCGAACTCAGAAATCCGCCTATCTCTGCCTCCCAAGTGCTGGTATTAAAGGTGTGCGCCACCACCACCTGGCTCTTAGCAACTCTTAAAGGTAGGTATGTCCATATAAGTTCTGACTGAAGAAATATTAGGGAGCAGGGGAGGTGGTTCCCTGGGTAAGAGGGATTGGATACTGTCAGCCTAGACCTCGGCTGAGCACCAAGGGAGCTGTGGGAAAGTGGAAGTCTTATTTAGCAGCAAAGGGATTTCTTAGGAATGATGGGGATTAGAACATCTGGTAGACAGGAAATTCTGACTCACCTGTGTAGGAAAGGCCTGCTCTTACCAGAGCTTCAACAGCCACAGGTGATTCTTGGGGCCAGTCCTTAAAGGTGTCCATCCTTAGTTCTTCATTAGCAAAGACACTCTCATTGCAGTAAGCTTGGGAGAAAAGATGGAGACCAGGAGACTTTGATAGCAAAGGTCAAGTTAGCGCTCTCTCTCTCTCTCTCTCTCTCTCTCTCTCTCTCTCTCTCTCTGTGTGTGTGTGTGTGTGTGTGTGTGTGTGTGTGTATGTAATCATCTGATAACCTGTGCTTTTGTCACTTTTGCAGGTGGTTAGAAAAGCAGGAGGCCCCACGAGCGACTGTTATACCTGCTGGAGCAGAGCAGCAAAGACTGGGGCGCTCCCCTCTTTCTCTCCATTTCTGTATAGGATTAAGGGTTTAAAATGGAATACAGGAGTCATTCTCTCTCTGGGGCCTGGAGAGATGGCTCAGGGCTTCAGAGCACAGAGGACTCTTACAGTGTATGGGGTGGAGAAGAACCATCTGGCCAAAAGGAAACTGCAAGGAGCAAAGGGTCTCACACCTGGGGAGTGGGTGAGGACAATGAGCAGTGCAGGGGTAGATCTGCCCAGTCTAGGCATATAGCTCATAAATATATTAACTGGATTGTGTTTTTCATACAGGCTTATTTGGGTTAGAAATTACTGCAACAGTTGTGGGGGCAGGGGCAATTACATTTAAATGAAGAAAGAAACAAGCAAAGTGTTCCAAATGTGCCTGAGGTTTTACCTGATACCATAGGTAGTTCTCTTCTGATCCAGGACTTCAGAAAATGTTCTCCCTGAGGAAAGAAATTCAGTTTTTTAATTGATGTATAAAATGTACATCTATGTGTGAGCTTCAACTGAAGGGAGATTCCATTAGAGCAACAGAGTTGTTTGGTGAAATGGACCTTTAATTTTTGGTTATATTTCTATTATTTTAGAGAAAGAATTTAAAAGAATTATTTATTTATTTTATGTATGCGTGCACTATACCTGCCTTCAGACACACCAGAAGAGGGCATCAGATTCCAATACAGATGGTTGTGAGCCACCAGGTGGTTACTGAAAACTGAACACAGGACCTCTGGGAGAGCAGTCAGTGCTCTTAACCACTGAGTCATCTCTCTAGCCCTTAGAAAAATTTTTATACAGTTATAAACAACAGTGAGTGTTTACTTGTAGCCAAGTGGAAACCACATACAGAATCACTCACACAAAACACCCAGCTCAAAAACAGAACTAGGTTACATACCACAGATGTATTTTAATTAATGCAGAATAAAGACACAGAGAGGAGCGAACTTCAGAGGCACCTGTGAGTTGAACAATATACTATCTAAGGAAACTTCACCAGGTTTTTTTTTTTCCTGAAGAAGAGCCCTTTTCCCTGATTTTTCACACCATGTTCTCAGCAAAAGGCAGGCAAAACCAGCGCAAAGCCAGCCAGAAAATCAAATGAGAAGTGATTCTAGCTTAGCAAGACGATGGGCTCCTAACCTTCCCACACTCTGTGGGTAAGAGGGAAAAGGATGAAGGAGAAAGTCACAGAAACCATGAAAAAACAACAAAAACATTTGAGGAACTGAAGAGTCGGTTCAGGGACTAAGAGCACTGACTGCTCTCTTAGAGGTTGTGAGTTCAATTCCCAGCAACCTCATGGTGGCTTGCAACCATCTATATATAGGATCCAATGTCCTATTTTGGTGTGTCTGAAGATAGCTACACCACACTCATATACATAAAATAAATAAATAAATCTTTAAAACAAAACAAAACACCTCAGCTCAGACATTAGGCAGTAAAATGAGTTTGGAAAAAGTTGGCTGTTGTAAATTACCGTTACATGAACAAATCCCTTGTAGCTTTGAATATACTGTGCAATTTCCTCTGAGGATTTCTTACTTTGAAGAAATTCACATCTGTAATAAAAAACACAATTGACTATTTTCCCAACATATATAAACATGCCCTCCATCACAATGTATATTGTTAATGTCTTCATAACTTTTAACATTTTTATTTTTAAAATTTCGTTAACTTTTTATTGATTCTTTGTGAATTTTACATGAGGCACCACAGTCCCACATATCTCCCTATCTCTTTGTATCTGCCCTTGCAACTGTCCTCCCAAAAGGAAATTAAAAACATAAAACAAAAACAACCAAATCTAGCTGTGGAACCTGTAGTGTCACAGTGCATCCCACAGTGTCCCTTTTGTCCACACATCTTTACTTGCAGTGTGCATCGTAAGGAGTCATTGGTCTGTTTCGAGATCTCTGTCTACTGCTACACTGTACTAGATCCTCACCAGGGCTCCTCTAGGATATTGTGGTATTGCTCTGTGTCATGGAGATCTTGCAGCTTTGGATTTGCAGGACGAGGCTCTTCACTTGCTCCAGCAGGTCATAGACATTGGGTTAGACCAACTCAAAGCCCTGGATCTGGACCTGGGTAGTAGCTGAGCTAGGTGATTAGCCCACAAGTTCTCCTGTACTGATACCACCAGAGTGAGCTCTCCAACATTGCCATGGCTTGCCCACCCAATGCAGCCAGCAAGCAGAGTCAACTTTCCTGCTCTCACACACCCTCAGGGCCCGCTCACCCACGCCTTGAACACCAGGGCCAGCTCTACTATGCTACCCAGGCACGGTGCAGGACCCACTCTCATGTGCTGCAGCCAGTGAGGGGCAGG